CCATGGCGCAGTGAAACGTGGACGATGTACCGGCGAGATGTGCGATATCTCGAGCGGTTCCACCAGCAGTGTCTGCGACGGATTTTGCGCATCGGCTGGGGTGACAGCGTTGCGGACACGGAAGTGTTGCGCCGAAGTGGGATGTATGCAGTGGACTGCATACTTTTATTGAGACACCTGAGGTGGATCGGTCATGTGAGCTCTATGGATTCGACGCGGATACGGAAGCAGCTATTATATGGTCAGCTGAGTATTGGGAAGCGGCACATGAGGAAACCAAAGTTACGTTCCCAGGACATGATTAAACTGAGTCTCACACGTTCTAATCTTGATTACAGATCATGGGAATCGAAGGCGGTTGATCGGCGTGCATGGCGCGATCTGATCACGAAGGCAGTTGCCGAGGTGCATTAGAAAGCCCTCATGCATGCAGAGAATAAGCGGCAAGTGCGGAAGCGGCAAGCACCGATGGGTTGTTCTCCATCGACATCAAGCGCATGGTGCGGTCGCGCATGCCGTCGCGAGTGCCTGAGTCAGGCAGGCCTAGTGAGCCATGAGCGAGGCCACTCGGGACCACAACCGAAGCGACGACGCGTCCTGCAGGAAACGTAGGCCGAACCGGCGCAGCGTTTGTAGGCACGCTGCATTCGATTTACTAACCGCGTGCTTGCATGCTAAGTCTCTTTATTTCAGGTGTTGGGTTTTCAATTTTGTCTTAATGCTTTTCGTTCTCATACAAATGTCTACCTGTACTCTATTCCATTAACTTGCACACCTCGCTTAAGTCAATTGTATTCGATTTCCATAACATTTACATGTTCGTGGCATTTTCGTAAAGTATACTTTCTGACCTCGCGAACTTATCTGGTATTCATTTGTAAACAACTTATTTCATATGCTCATTAACTTAAGGTTTATGTCACCGTTTCCTTATGCATTAATCGTGTTATTTTCTTTTTATCTCTCTCTCTCAAGTGCTTGGCTGTTGTTTGATATCCCCGGTGTGGCTGCGCCTGATGTGCATGTTGACAAGCTGCCTACCTGCCCATTACCCACTACCTCGTCCATACTGGCTCCAGGAGACAGTTGGTTGCTGGAGGGGATGGGGTGCGCGGTCCTTGTGGTCGTGCTACGCTCGAAGAGTGGTTCCATGCACTCAGTGTGGAGCGGACTACGGTCCAGTCACCGCCTTGTGTGCGCTTGGTTCCCCTAATACAGCGTGCTTGTGTTTGCTGTGTAGGAGTGTGGGCCGGCTCCGTTGATGAAACGTGGCTCCCATCGGCATGCCTCCTGGTCTTATTCCTTCGTGTTTACAGTGGATATGGGGTGTGTGGGTGGTGCAGCGCAAGCCATCCATGGTCCCTCTGTAGGCGCAGGTATCCTGTGGCTTGCGACAGTGACAGGCAAATCCGTAACCGGATGCCGCCAACCATATACACCGTGGGGCTCGGAGAACTTGTTGAAGAGTCCATGAGCATTGGTATACATACAGGAGGGTGTTTCGAGTTAGTTGTGTATCTGTTTTTGCGTGCTTTCGCTGACCTTTGTGAGGCCGGCAACTAATCGTTCTTTCGGTGAACCGTTGACACTAAGAATGAGCCGCTTCATATCGTTTGGTAGACTGACCACGGGAGGAAGTATTGGGAAAGTCGCTGTTTCTTCAACATACGGCTGTGCATATCGGTGGTCCGTTCGTGGAGTGGGTGGATTCACTATCAGACCCGTGTGAATGCTAGATCGTTTAGGGTTTTGGTTTTGAACTCTGTTATTCGTAGCTCTGTTTGGAGTTTGTTACGCCATTTACGCTACGTTTCAGATGCATCTTCCTCCATGTGATTGGATTAGAAGAAAACTTTCAACACCGCATGGCCACGCCCTTCGTACCTTAATGATGAGTGTAGTCTTACGATCGCTTTGGCGATCATATTGTCGAGTGAGAGTGCCTGATGAAGGTAGCGACATACATTCCAAGCATGGACTTGCGATTCACAATCATCAGAGGCTTGAAGCTCCGATACACCATGAATAAAGAACGACATTTCGTCGTTTAGATGGTAGTAATGATCAGGGCTCTGTTTTCTTTGCTGACGTACGCTCCAAGGCCCGTAGCCTTAAGAGTCACATACCTGCCCTGTAATACGAAGGCGAGAGTTCAAGCGTGCGCAGGGACCGGGTGACCCTCGCAGTACCCATTTCCAGGTGCGACCGGTTGTGGTTGCGCGGCAGCGAAGCGTCGTTGCTATGTACCGAGTACTGCTGATGCCTTTTTATGCTCGCTCCAAGGGACGTCATGTAAAATCCGAATGTCGCATGAATCAATTCGAAAGCATGCGGTTGACAAAAGAACCACCTTAAAATCCTTCGCTGAATATAGCTTTCGCCGTAGTAGTTGTGGTTTTCCGTGGTGGGGCGAGTTTGAGTGCATACGATGCTCGCCATGCTAGCCGGCCTTTCTTGGACGCCTTTTAGTAGATATATGGAATCCCACTGTTTTCGGTCGTCCAGCAGCTTACTTTTTATGGAGGTCGCGCTAGATTCAGGAACACTTAAACATACGATCTTTAGTGACTCGTGGGCTCATCTAGGTGTGACCAGTTTGTGAGGAAATGGGAGGTGAGTTCCTGGTGGAGTGATGGTCGCATATGTGACACTTCTGGTGCATTGTGTGATCGTTCAGGTGTAGCCATTGAGTTGGCTTCTGGTTCTTGGACAGCGGCAACAGACGTTTATGTAGCCCTACGGTTAGCGGTAGCACATGTGTCTCCGTGTGCCGATGTAGCTTGCTCCATATGGTTATTTTCACGCAATAAAGCCTTGGCTAAGTTAGGGATTGCTGTAGTTGGTGGAATTTGGTTGTTTGCCTGATATTTTTAATTATGTAGAAGCGCAGAGATCAAGTGGAGCAGTTGTCTACACACCAGGTGAGGCAAGTGGGTCTCTGGACTAGGCAGACCGGCAGCCGCTAGATGTGACGTGGTGGAACTGTACGCTATCGGGCGGGCCACCATGTTGTGGATTGGAAAATACCTTCCCTGTGAGGGTAACTGGGAATAAGTCTCGTTTACCTTGCAGGTGAGATGAATAAGCAGTCGCAAACAGTCAGCAGCAGCGTCTCAGAGCGTCGAGAGTTCTGGGCTGATCACGAGGTTCTCCATCAAATACCACAACAGCTTGTACGGCACTGTGTCAGAGCCAATGTGACCGGCCATAGGGTCACTGACCACTCAATTCTGTAACCAGAAGTGGGTGCCTAACGGAGGGCAGACGAACAAGCTTGTTGGCCACCGGCTTCTCTGTGGACTGCTACCGAACACAAAGAAGCCGTATGAGCTACCCGGCTGTCAACGGTCTTCGTTAATCGCCTCGCTGTCTTGTGGGTCAGGTAATTATGACCAAAGGCTCGGAGTTGGGTACCTTAAGGCAAACCTCTTCCTATGCCTTGGCAACCGGAAAGATCTCTGTCCACAGAATGCGTAAACATTCTGAACCTTCTTAAACCATCTAGTGACTACCTGCTTTCCCCTTCTTGTTGTTGTTAACTATGTGTTGTGGCACTGCCAATTAAACATTGGTCAAGTGTTTTATAATAATAATAATAATGTCAATAATAATAATACATGGCGCACACTAAGCACACAAAGCGGGACTCGACGAAGTGTGGATTTCCGATATATAGCGATTAGGGCAACCTGCAAATCCCAATGTGTTGCGGCGTTGGATATCAGAAAAACAGTAGTGTACTCTAGGCTACAAAATGATGCAGCAAATAAACACAGTGTTGGATGCGTGCGAGTTGAGGCTATTTGTATAAAGGGACAACCTTTCAAGTGAGGATAAAAATCTAACAGGGATTTCAAAGATGTAGCAGTTCCACGCGTGCACATTGGTAACGACCGTCCGATTTGCAGAAAGTGAATAAGATAATGAAGAGCTAAGAAAATGCGACTTTTTAATCTCCATTTATAGTCTTGCTGAATCCGTGTGGATTGAGTGTACGCTCGATGACCAGCAACAAGATGGTGAGGACTTATCCGCAGAATATTGCTGACTCGGGAATAGCACTACCGCTCGGTACAGTGCAATAAGTACTATGCCCCCCAGTGGTATAGCAGTCTACCCACCTACATACCTCAACATTCCAGACTGAGTGATCATTTGGTATTCGACTGTGATTGACGTCCCATATACAAAAGCACCGAATTTTGAACCCATCTATCAAGGATCCATCTATCGTCTGGTCAGAAGCACACCAACGTAAGTGTGCCAGTCGTTACAGATATGGAAAGTTATTCAGCCAGACACACAGGACAATATGTCAGCCATAGAGCAAGAAGCCGAATAGAAGCTTATTAATTTTTTTTACAAAGTTCGACCTTCAGTCCTGGTCCACGGTAAGAGCCGAGGTATCTCTGCCATCAGATTCCGGAAAACCCTCATCCGGAATGTGGTCCAGAGTCCTCTTTAGAAATCATCATATCGGTTGAGGGGCAAGTAGGGTGGCTTGTTCTACTGCACTTAAGATTTCAAGCATTCATTAACTTTGAAGTCTCTGCTTTTTGATTGATCAAGTGGCTATCGATAGATGACGCTGACCCTTCTCATATATCTCCCTTTGCTTACCTCTGATCTGTAGGAGAATAACAGACCCGTCTCGTAAATTTTCCGACAGCTTAAGGCCAAGTAGCTTGCTGCACAAGCATCATACTAGTAGTACTATCCTACGCCTGTGATTAACGCGTGAGATTTGGCGCTGCAGTGGGTGCCTAGCCCCTTTGTTGTTCGCCACGAGCAATATTACAAAAATATTTCAGTACGAGTGTTTCACATCATCTGCAATTGCTCTATCAAGGGGTTACGGTATCTAAGGTGTAAGCGAGCGCCACGGGCTGGCCACCCTGCAAGTGCACCCAGGTAATCCGCGTTTTCGTGTTCGGAAAATATCACAGCTCTAGCTATGTCCGTAGCTGATATTCGTAGTGAAACAGTGTAAACTGCTGTTGTTATCGTAAACATTTAAAGTACCAACTCACCCATTTGATGAATCCGGCCAGGAACCTTCCAAGCCAGTCAAATACGTTGTATGACAAGAATACCACCACGGGGATGAAATACTTATCTAGATGGTGCAGAGAAGTGGGGAGGAAAGAACAGAGCTAAGGTAAAGCGTATGTCTTTCGCACTGTGTAATTTTACGTCAGCTTTGTGGTCAGAACAGAAAACTCTTGACATTAAGGATTTCAGGCAGGTAAACTCATAGGTTGCCCTTGAGAACATGTTGAGCGCATATTTCCCAGATCTCATCTATATTTCTCAGGTAGCATCTTTCAGTTTCAGTGAGCCATTACCACACGTCTTACCCATTTTATGAATCCGTTCCCGTACATTATCCCCTATACACTTATACGACTAATATGAGCACAACAAATATAGTCCTCGGTAAGTCACAGAATTTCTCTGTGTCTTAAGTTAAAGTTTTGGTTAAACATCACAAACTGAAAAATAATCGCTTCCTAATAGGGGATATTGAATGCGTATGGGATTAATCCAGGGTACCAAATTCAACTAGTTGTATTATGAGAAGGGATGTTAGTAAGTCGTCAGCGGTACTATTTGGTAGTAGCCTGTTATCCACTAATTCACACATTATCGCCATCCAGAGAGACAAGATCTCAGGCTTTTAGCATTAATTGGCTTATGACATAAACGCTCTTGGTTGCGTACTGATTACAGTACGCAGATTCAAGGGGTGTAAGGATGAAACATCTGTTCCGTGTTGCTTTCCGGACGCGTGCGATGGCTGGATGATCGACTACACATACGATGAATTCAACGTGGTAGCTCAAACAATAAGTCCGTCTCATGGGCTATGCTCTCCCGGGTTAGATACGAATGGTCATACCACGACAAGTGTGCCCAGTGACAAATCAAAAATAAATAATTTCTTTGGCCTTATATTATTATTTGCATGCTTATTCTAATACATGTTCGGTGACACCGACTGTTATGCTTTGAACCGTCTAAACCCATCCGAGGTCCAACCGTAGATCATATTCGTTACCTTATTTGTTTGTTCTTTGGTAGCAAGGGACCTACCTGTCCATTCGTCCCCGGCTCGGTAGTTCATCGGTCTGACTGTCGCAGTGAACGGTGGGAATACGGTCAGGGTGACTCCGAAGGTGAATATGATACAAACGCCGTGCACCCACGTTTCTCGCATTGATATTCCTAAATTGAAAAGGATGGTTTTTGCATCACTTTCTTTGGTGACCATTTCCGTCGAACTATGTGGCATATCGCCACTGCTGGAGCTTGGTGTTGTTTCTCCATGTTGCCGCATGTTCTCTGCAAAAAATGGAAGTATTTGTTGTCACAAGTTGTTTGCTATACGGCTAAATTGTCCGTAACATGTGCATGAATTAGTCAGTTAAGAGAGAACCCACTGTTGGATCCTAAGGAGTAGAAAGCTCCCATTTTTTTCTATGGGCAGTGAAATCCATTTGTAGGATCGTACGACGGCAGCGCATGCCTGGCTTCTCGTAGCAATCGCTATGACCAAACCCCTTGTAGTTATTTTTAATCTCTCAGTGATCTATTGGTCAATAAAGAAGTACGCCACTTAGAACTGCTCGTCTTCCTCTCTTAACATCCGTAATCGTCTCCTGTCTAGATTGTCCACATTATAACCCATCATACTTACATGTTGTTTGCAGTTGGAACGTTCCCCTATTTGGACAATATAGCAGTAAACAATTCATCGGCAACCGAGGTGTCACCTTCACTGCGTTGATGCTTAATGAAGCAAATGCAACATAAGTGCAAAACTTAGCACCGGACCGCCAATCGGACGACACCGGCTATTTACATTTGCTGCTACACAATATTCTTGCAAATCCCCAGCGAAACAGTGTGCTTCCGCCATTCTAGTAGTGTAGACATCTCGCTGTTATTCCCACGTAAACTTCAGAAGTCAACCGAATTCTCTTATACGACTCTCTTAGTGCTACCTCTGTAGACGTGACTACATAAGCATCCATTGCCGCTGCCAAAGCACCAGGAGTAAATTCTAGGGCTGCATCTGCCGCGATCGCACAGGGCGCCACAAATGCCGTACCCGCGCTCATCACTGCCCAACAGATTCAAATCCCACTCCCTCACAAACCGGTTACTTCAAAACGAGCCCATGAGTCGCTGACAACCGTATATTTTAGTGTACCTGAATCTAACGCCAACTCCAGTAGAGATAAATTGTTGTACGACTAAAACAGTGAGGTTGAATAGGTCTACCAATAGGCGTCCAAGCTAAACCGGCTAGCATGGTGCGCATTGTAAGGCACTTGAACTCAACTCACTAAGGGGGAATCATGATTGTTACTTGTGGCGCTACAATCGGCGAACGATTTTGAGTCGGTTCTTTGGTCAGTTACCCGCCTTCGGACTGACTCATGCGATATCCGGATTTCTACCGACGTCTTTTGCAACGACCGCTAACAAAGTAAACAGAAGTTTGATGACTACCACCATCGAAACAACGAAAAGTTGAGTTTATTCATGGTATACTGGAGCTTCAGGCATCGGATGACCGTGAAGCACAAACCCATGATTGGAAAGAACAACGTTACCGCCGTCAGGAGCGCTCACAAAACAACGTAGTAGTGAAGTCGACCATAAGAATATCATCATCATCAAAGTATAAAGGGTGTGGCCCCAGGGTGATGCAAGTTGTGCTTCAGTCAAAACACATGGCGAAACGTTCACTCGAAAACTGACGTAAGTGGCGTAAGAAGCTTCCCCAGATCTACGAATAAAAGGGTTCCACATCAGACGTCCGCTGACGGAGGAAAATCAAAGCCATGGCCTTCAGACAGGGAGTGCAGTAAGTCTTACTTTTGAAGCAGATTACGGCGGGTCACAATCAAGTCTTGAAGCGGGAACGACTTTCTTAATAATTACCGAAACAGGAACGTCATTCTGTGATCAATATATCAGCAAATATGACGGGGTTCATAGCTCAGTATCGGCAGTCCACCAGAAAATGAGTAGTTGCCATCCTGACAAGGGTCAGCAGAAACTTTGACCTGTCAATTTCACCCTCAGGTACATTTCTCACTTTCGCAGCACTCTCTTGTCTATATACGAATGCTCAGAGCCTTGTCAACGAATTATCCGAGCTTTATTCTCGCCGACCCTTGATGTCTATGGACCTGATACTAATAACTGAAACTTGGCTGAACGATGAAATCACGGATGCTTCCTATGTAAAGATCGACATAGTAGGGGAGGTGGCGTAATTGCGTACTATCGCGTTGCTCTAACTTTCCCAGTTGTTGACGATTTAGAGCTTCAAGTTGTGGACTCACTTTGGTGCCGCTTGCAACTAAGACCTGATGATACATGTTTAGTTACCCTGTATACCGTCCTGGCATGTCCACTCTGGAAATTGACAACCGTTTATCTCTCATGTTCGCCTCGTAGGGGACTTAAGTTGCACGCACTATATGTTCGGGCCTCACCGGGCGAGCAGGGGCAATAGCTCGAGATTCCGCCAACAATACAGTAGTCTCGGCTGCCAAACTACTTACTTCTCCTTTCGCGTCTGCCAACAATGAAACGCCGTTCAAAACACAGTTGTTTGTGCCTCAACCTTGGCCATTTTCAAGAAATGTTTAGATATCACACTTGGCTCCTTACACTTTGGTACAGGAACTGGTATGTATTCCTGCTCATTAACTATTTGGAATTGTAATGCGCATTGATGCATGTAAATTAACGCATGCTAGTGATGCATTTAACTGCTCGTCACAATGAGTGTTAATCATACATTTTAATACTTTGTGCTACATGGTGGCAATGGATTTCCTCAACTCTACTTCCAATGTGCCGTTGCCCTGTCTCCTCACCAATGCGCATTTCGTTTTGTCCTCATACCTAGTCTACGTATTAGCAACTCCTTCGGGACCTGTTAAACCTGTGATTTCTCACTGGTCATGGGCCATTGCTCCATTTGCATTATGTGACATGATTCACGCTGATCAAGTGACAACAAGACGCAACCAAACATTGATCTTACCAGCTCCCACGAAATCAGAGTACATGGCCATTTTTATAAGTCCTCAGATGCACGGTTAACCTTGCTCACTTTTAAAATTTTTATTCCACACATTATATTCCGTGCGACTTTTCAATCTTCAGCTTTATTACTGTATCATACCATTGGTCCAGTGTTCTATGCGCTCTCATGAACACCTCAGTGCTCGAAGATACATTCTGACTAAAAGCGAATAGTACGAAATTCGCAAAGATGTAATGGCAAAATTTTGTGCCAGCCGAGAGACAGAGACTGCCTTACCGGGTTCACTTCTCGAGCATCGAAAATGAAAACGGCCACTACTCCTGGTAAAATTTATTCCGTCTCATACAGGAAACGGAGAGCAAGTGAAGTGGTACTAAAGAAACCGTACGCGAGGTAAGGAAGTAACCTACCCTGTCAAAACGTTTGGAGCGTTTGGCTGAGCAACTTTTGAAATAGGTGAATTGACCAGAATTTTCAGCTATCATGTCAGTCAGCTATTGACATTCTCACTGGGCCGTCCGTTTGCATCCATCCTCTCTCAAAATATTCTAACGTCAAATTAGACTACTGACATTGAACGAGACTGCATGAACAGATAGACTGGTTCCAGCCCTCTTCTAATTTTGTTTCAGCCGTTATTGCAGATGAGTTGTAAGATTTACTGTTGTGACCGTGGGTGCAGGGACCTGTTCCAACCGACTGCAGCTGCTTCGTTATAGTCCCAATGCTCAAGGGAGGCTATCGTTCGGAATGCTACGGTCATCGAACTATCAGTGGTACGTCAAAAATTAATCGGTATTTACTAAAGCCTGATTCGCGAAGTGCAGACTGGGTTTAGTTGAAATCAAAGCTTCATTGAACGTCTTTAGTTAACTTCACTTATTGGATCTGCGCTATGTAGACTCTTGTTTCAGGCTAGTCGTCTTCCCCAACATCAAAGGTGTCTTCGATTTGATGGATCGATGTATCCCTTGAGACTGCTTTCTCAGAAAAGGTGTCTGATAAACAGGTAAATGTCATATCAGCGCGCCTCGTTCGAGTAGAGTGAGAACTTGTAACAAACTGTCGCCGCCCTTAACCATCTTCAGCAGTGTGTTAAGTTCGCCATTGATGTAGTCGCAGAAGCTGCGTTTACTGGACATGGTTTAGGTGTGGATTTGCTTCCAAATGGCTGACTGTTCGACTTTGAGCATGCCGACGACATCGGCTTTATCTGTGACAGTTCACATGTGTCCAGCAGCACTGTAATGAGTAGCACTCGCTGTCAATCGTTTTGGGATGTGCTTTGTGCCTTTAAATTACTAAGCTTTATTCCCGGATTGATAAAGGTCATATCCTGTGATGACCGTTGGTAAATATATGCTATAATCGGTTCAGATATTCACTTACTTGAACAGTCGTATTAAAGTCTGTGAAATGACAAATCACCTGGGCCTTTTAACATAACTTCGTCACATAATACCGGTGTTTTCACTCGTCCTAAAGGGTAGAATCGACAATGCAGCCATCCCATAAACCCCATCATATGGCTTCAAAATCTGGCGTATCAGAATAACAGACCTAACGAGGCTTGTTGCGTTCGACCACCGGTGTATGCGTAGTATGGCTCATGTGTGGTGGAAACGCTGCGTGAGCAATGAGGGTGCTCAGCGTCTCGTGTTTGGTGCAGGAAGCGCAAGTTAACAGCTCAACACGGTTAGTACATACACAAGGATCTGATTACTGGACCGGTACGCATACTCTTGCGACGCACATTTTTTGCCCGCTACAGGTATGGATGGGATAAAACTAGGTAAGACCATCCAACAGGTTGGTTGGTGTAAAACAGGTTATCACTTGGAACTTGTCCACGGTTGATGCTTCCCGTCTCCTGGCTTGGGGGCCCAAGGACGATGAACACGTTTGTTTGGATACACGTGTTGACATGACGGAGGGAGGACTTTAGTGACTTTTGTGTTGCGACTTGTACCATATCGTCCCCTCTCGTTTACAGTTTCATTCCAACCACGATCTTCCTTTAAATAACAATAAAATATGGTATACCATTACTATTTTACATTCTCCAATTTGCATACTTTATTTCTCTCTCTCAAAATAGCCCATTGCACTTCATTGTGACACACTAGTTGAGGTATTTCCCACTTTCAACCAGCGTGTAGAATGGTGCTGATGACGTTACGCCTGGTTTTGCTGATCAATGGACTCCAGCTTGTTGCTGATTTTCTCAAATGCCCTGGAGCACCACCCATACAAGGACGTTTCTGACACACATCAGTTGGGAGTGCTTCGGATCATCGTAGGAAGTGAATGATGAGCTCAGGCACCATGCTTTAGGAGACATCGCTGGATTCCAATATGTAGATGTAGATGCATCTGGTAGTAGCGTCCAGCCGAAAACAGATCTTTCATCAGAAAGATGATGACAATAGGACACTAAAGTTAGCTCGATACGCTCTTTAGTAAGGGTGTAGCTATTTAGCAGATGGCGTGTGATGCAGATGAAGAGGTCAAGGGTTGAAATTTTTAAATTCAATTCAGGGAGACGATTTGGAAGGGTGTCGGGAAAGGAGGTTCAAAAACCTTTAAACAAGATAAACCAAGTAAAACGCGTTGCTTCTAGGGTGACTCACTTTCCATTTTCCAATAGTATTTGAAGAAGGCCTTTAAAAAGAGAATAAAAGGCTAGGATAGAAGAATATTTGAGGGAAGATCGCCCTATATCGTCCAGTCTTAAGCGATCAAAACAAAGGGAGGGAATTAGTGATTTTATATTAGCTTTGAAATGAACACTTTTCGGATACAGCTTTGTATACTCTGGGCTGATACCAATCTTTTCACCTTTTGAATAGCTCGTATACCTTTTAACATACAAATATATCTATCAGGATTAGTCACATCTGAAGTACTGTCGGGTGGCGGAGTAGAGCTGTTAATGGGCCAAAGGTTGACTTTTCCTAAAACTCAGTACTACATACAGTCCACCATCTGCTTAAGGCGACCAAGCAAAAACATCCCCAATGTTTTCTACGAGTAATTTCCTTATGCATGAACCAAGCAATGGGGACCACCTGTCCAAGGCGACCACATTTTCTCGGTTCCTTGAGTGGTCGCGTTAGACAGGTTTGACTGTACTACATTGGTCGATTGTTAGGCAACTGTGATCTGTTAACGGTGGCGCGATGGACTCGGTTGATAAGATAAAATTTGTCGTTAGTGTGGTGCTACATGCTCAATAGTTCAATAGTTCTATAATGTATGATGGGATGTATGATGGGATAAAGAGAATAACTTTACATGACCCACAGGGTGAATATGCAAAAGAAAATTAAAATCAAAATGTTCCAAGATAAAACGTGAATTATCAATGGTTAAGTCATTGCACCTTATCAAACGGTTGTGTAGCGTTTATCACCAATAGGAAAGGCTAACAATCTTCCCAATTTCAGAATGTCTGGTGCGTTCGCCACATGTGTGGGTAGTGCATTCCAGTGGGAACAGACCATACGTGAGTAAACAGACTTCCTACAATTCAAACGGGAGTGTTGCGCCCTTAGTTTCAGGTGCTTGTCTCGGCATTGCTTGTAAGAGGCTAGGGTCAGTAGTGATGTACATGGGTGCTCGCGCTCAGTTAGTATCCGGTATGTGAGAATGAGATCCACGCGAAGCCGTCGGTATTCTGATGAGGACACACCGAGTACACGAAGATGCAGTTCGTAATTGAGACCGGATAGTCCACGTGTTGCCTTTGCGGCTCTTCTTTGGGGTTGTTCCAATAGGCGAATATCGCCTTTTAATCATGGACACCAGGCCTGAATTGCATCTCCAACTTGAGTACGAATATACGAGTTATTCAGCAATGGTACTAGCCGTCGCTCAAAGGTGGCGAGAGCTCGCCTCAAAAGCGTCAAGCTCAAGTTCGCCACACTTGCTGCTTTCGGACATTGGAGCGAATTGTCAAGACTTTCTTGCACGATGATACCTGAGTCGCGTTCACTAGTCACTTGTTGTAGGATGTGTTGCCGCAAAACATAAGTATTGACGAGGCAGCTGCGCACTGACAGCAGGTTGCACTTTGCAGGGTTCTGTGGGAGATGGTTTCTTTCTGCCCATTCCTTACTCCGAGCCAAATCGTCCCGAACATAGACATGGTCGGATGCTGTGTGAATTGCTTTCCATCTTTTAGCGTCGTTTGCGAATATTTGCATCAGGCATAGAATGTTTGCTGGAGGGTCATTGATGTAGTGCGGATATAATGACAGCAGTATACACGTACAATGGGGATAGTGAGCGAGCTGCTGTAGACTGCTGATTATAGTCCTGCGCCTAGTTGTTCGGTATCCTTCAGAACATCTTTAAACTAGCGCAGCTCAACCTAATTAAACGCTCCTTGCTAATGAGGATGAAACTGTGAATCTGTTCGGTTTTGGTAACTGCATAACGTCAAGTCCGAAGGAAGTGTCATGGATGTTTTCAAAATGACTCGCAGTAGCGATTTGAGGTATGAGGTTTACAACTGTCCTTAGTTTGAGAAATATAGACGATTTTTGCGTGCATACCTACAGAGGAAACTTGCTTTTGTGAATATCACAACACACCGGACCCTAAGTTGTCTTGAACTGCAACCTGGAAAACTTCTGAAGCGAACCTGGAGCCCATTTACTGGCCATGCAGTTTTCATTCATATATATGAAACCAAACCGGTGCGAAATATCGAGGTTGGGTAGCTTCACCGGCTCGTGGAGATAAACCGAAACGTTTGAAGCTATAGCAGCTGAAGATATGCTGGAGTAAAAAGCTAATGGTGTATAAATATTCTGTCAATCATCCTCAACAGTATTCTACACGTTAGCCACAAGTGGAAAACACCTCAGCTATTGTACCTCAATGTAAAAGATAAGCAGAAATAAACAACAGATGCACGCCGGTTGAGTCCCCAATAACGGGTGGACATCGTTCCGGAGAGCCAACAACCGGCTATCAAGCCACAGAAAGAAAGTTATATTATGCCTAAGGGATGAGATCGTGATTGGAGGAGAGGCTAAGAAGGAGGGGGATGGACAATGAAACTCACAACATAAACGTCATTGAGGTCGGCTCTTAGCCATATCAGGGTGTCCAACCAAAGGTGTTCATTGTCCTTAGGGCCCCAGCCAGACAGTCGGAATGCACAAACCGACGCCAGCTTCGAATTGAGGGTTTTGATTTCTCTCGCCCAGGTCATCGCTTGACCTCTCCTGCTCTTCGTCCATCCACACCCCCGGCGCGCAAACAATGCACTTCGCGGGAGTCGATATGCTGGCATGCGAAATACATGGCCCAGCCACCGGAGCTTGGTGTGTGATATATCGGTGCTGAGCGGTTCACTAGCTCGTCCTGCACCGAATACGTGACGCCGAACACGCTCATTGCTCACGCGATGCTCCCACCAGATATGAGCTAAGCTGCGGAGGCAGCGATTATAGAACGTCGCTGGCCTCCTTATGTCTGTCGAGCTGATGGGTCAGGTTTCACAACCATAGAAAAGGGTGGAACTGACGGATGCATTATAAACTCTGACCTTCAGAGCGACAGTGATGCCACGTCTGCGCCATAGGTGGCTGAGAATGGCAAAAACACCTCGAGCTTTTGCTCTACGGTTCGTAATCTCAGCTTCGATCTCACAGGTGCTACTATAGTTTCCCAGGTGCTTGAATACATGAACGACTTCTAGCTGATCACCACCAAGAGTCAGAGGCAGAGGTGGGTCCTTGCCAACCTTGGGGAAGAACTTTGCATTTCGTTGGAGCAACGCATAGTCCAAAACGATTTACAGCCAATGCTAATCGGTCCATTGCAACCTGACACGTTTGAGCGCTGTCACATATGAGGGCAATGTTGTCCGCATACTCCAAGTCAAGCAGTCGATCACCAGGAAGTAGTTCCACATCTTCTAGATTGTGTCCAGCGAAGGCTGTTTCCATTACTCCATCAATAGCGAAGTTAAAGAGGAAAGGTGACAGCGGGCAACTTTGTGTCACATCGCTGGAGATATTGAAGAACGGCGACAGTTTGCCATAGGCCCTCACTCTGCCCGAACTATGCACATACAGCGCTTTGATAAGGTTTACATATTTAACGGACATACCCTTCATTTCCACATCGATCCACCGAAGAGAAGACACCTTGGATGTCGTGAAAAACGACAATGGTGAGTCGCCAATAAACATTGCGGTACTCAACAATGTACGCAAAGTGAAGATGTGGATGCAGCCTCGATTTCGACGAAACGCGGATTGCTCTTCCCCGATCTGGTATCTAAGAGCGCCAGTGAATCTGTGGTGAACGACTGAGTCAAGCAGTTTAGTGGCAAGCGAGAGCAAACTGATACCTCTATGATTGCCGCCTTCCGAAATGGAGCCTCCTTGAAGATTAGGACTACGAATGTGCGGCTTCAGTCTGTCGGGACAGTTTCATTCTCCCAAAGTTCCATTAGCAACTCGTGTAAATTATCTACAAGATTAGGTCCTCCGAATCTGTACAGAGCTGGTGGGAGTTCTATATGCAGCAGTGGTCTTATGCAATTTCAACAGTCTGATCTCACGTTCGACTTCTGCGCGTGAGGGTGGATCTAAGGAGACGGCTCGTGGAGAAGGCCACTCAATGAACGAAAGAGAAAGCAATAACTCAGATTGGTTAAACTGCCTTGCGAATTGTTCGACTCAATGTTCCAAGCGTTTTGACAAGCTGTGAATCGGTTATCCACTCTCGTCGCGTATTGTCTTGTTAACAGCAGGTCTCCTGCTTCCTATTTCACGTATAAGAAGGAATAAATTACGATGCTTGCCAACGGCAGCGGCCGTTTTGATTTCCAGTGCACGATGAGACCACCAGACTTGGGGGTCTCTCTTCAAACTAGCAAGCAGTTTTGCCCAGAGATTTTTGCGAGTTTTACTGTACTCGCTTCCAGCTGGAATATGTCGACGAGCATCCACAAGTTCCAGAGACTTTGTAGAGAACTAATGCTTAGGTTGGAAATTTGAGTTACTACATGATGACATGCCCGCTGATAGTAACGTTTGACGAATATGCGACCAGTGATCTTCGGCGGTGTTCAGTGGACGCTTACTCAGTCCAGAGGCCAGCGTAGTTTGATACGCAATCAGAATACTTGGCTTCACCAGCTAGCTGGTGTCAGTGTGCTTAGAGAGAGGTCGTGGACGTCCGCCGAAATGCACCTGCAGATCAGCAAACACAAGAAGAATGTGTCAGCTGTACGCCGTAACGGCGTTTTGATGCCGCGCGACCACCACCAGTCGCGCGCGGGCTGTATATACCGCGAGGATGCCCACTCCTAAGCGGATTCAACCCGGTGACCTTATGGTTACAAACCAAAGGTGCAGACCACTCGGCCACCGGCCGACTGGATCGAAGAGAAAGAGACGGGCACCTTCACACAGGTGTAGCAACCGCTCATTGTTAGCATTACGGGGGTCTGTACAATGTTGGCCGTCCCGATGAAGTGCATCAAAGGACAATTTTCCTACTTGCGCGTTTAGATCAGCAGCAAGCACCAGTATCCTTACTTCTTCTGTAATGAAGGAGATCGTTAAGTTGATGATAGTAATCATCTTTCATCGAATCAGTGATGCAGTTTGTGGGGTGTAGACCGCAATGACAACCAGGCACCGGTTGTCCCCGCTTGACTTCCGAGCCTGGAACGCACCAGCCATACTAACGGAGCGCATCCAGATGTTGACAGGGATCCAGCCGATCAGGTCAACTTTAGCCCGGGGACTCAAAACAACGCCGACGCCAGCTTGACCTGCATTTGAAGCTGAGTCATCGCCACACAGGCGCAATGAGAATGTGTGGCATGTGGGGGATAGCAGAGTAAGCATGGAGCTCGAATCTTCCAGGCGGGTTTCCGATGAACAGCAAACAGCGATCAAGTGAGTCTCGAGTGTTCGGGCAAGTGCTGCCTGTTGACCAATCTGTAGCAAAGTGCGCACATTGAGGCATGCCAGTCCTAGCGAGGATCGAGGACTCCAAAGGAAAACGGATGAACAGCCGTTGTCCGCTAGAAGAAAGTTTTTATCGGGACATGGCCCATAGTCCATCCCTCATTCACAAACGGTACAAAGTGTATGATCTGCTGCTTCAAACTAGTTAGTTACAGAAAGCAATTAGAACTAGTTCTGACTACTGTTATGGTGGCAGGAAGATGAGACGGTGCATTTCGTGCATGTGACCACACTCCTACCTCTACAACTGTGTAACTGTAGAACGTTTCACTCCTTAGCTTTTTCAGTATTCTAATATTCACCTGAACAAAGGTCCATATCCCAACAATAAAGACGTTTTAGTTGTTATCAGCGACAGGGGGTTCTGACGGAGGGATATGTACGTGGCATGTCTGTACTGAGTTTAATAAAATGTTTTAAATAATACACTACTCACAAGTAGTATCGCATGTCAAGCATCGAGTGCCTTTTCGGTAATGGATGACACTCGCTTCAGTAGCCGTCGATAGCGCGGACAACGGCGCTGCTATTCGGCAACAACATGATTCAGACTGATCACATCTTACGCGGAGTTCGGTATGAAATAACTGAACTCCATCAGACGTGATATCCGTGGCCTTGTTAGTAAGGCAGGGGTAAGGCACCACACATCTAAACACCTTGCAGGGAGTGTTTCGACAGTCACTTGTGTTAAACCATGCCAACATTTAGTTTACGTACAAGCCTGGGCATCACAGAATCGAGCTATTCTAGGCGAATCAGTCAGAGGGAAACGGAGGAGCCAGCCTATCTTGAACTGCCATCATTCTACTATCCGAGCAACAAGATTGGTTGGCGCTGAAGTCGAAAAGATTGTGGTAGAAAATGGCTAAAGGGGTCATTGGTCCTCTAAAAGGATTTTCGATGCTCTGTGTTCAACTCCGCCATCCGCCAACCCTCGAGGGTGGACTACGAACGCAATTAGCCCCCCAATTATCTTCGCCATTACCACGGCAACTATCACCCCAATTATCTTTGCCATTATCCTCTCAATTATCGTCATGCACACTCTCATTTCACGCATCCGGTTTTCATCCCGTCTATGTTTGACCAATCGCGTGAACTTCACTTGTCCCATATAACCAGTATACTGTATTCTGTATCGCATTGACGATCTGAAACCCTTCCTTGTTGGTCTCGGACCGAATTGTAATTCTTTTGAAACCACGTTGAATGGAAACGCTACTATTGTGGTTTGTATTATTATTGCTTCCTAATTGTTCGTTAATAGTACCGTCATCTTGTCCAGTGTTCTTATTATTGACTGGCTGGATACGCGTTGGCTCAAGGCCCTTCAACGCGAATTGTCGCTTACAGGTCCACTAACATTACTGACTTGTAAATGCGGTTTCCACTCTCCTTCCCATGAGAAAACATTCAATGTTTGCTGTGCTGTGTATTCCTTTCTCCGTTTTATACCATGAAGATGCATCTCCCTTTTTGTTAACTTTGCGGCATTGCAATGTTTATTTTGTCCGCACTACGTTTGATAAACACACCCTCAAAATGATCGATGCAAAAACGCACTCAATGAATCAAAATAAGGTGGTGTGAAATTCCACTCTCAGATTTTACTATGCAATAAACGTACGCAGTTTGCAAATTTGTGGCGCTCTGAAAAAGTATCCGCTGCCAATATTGTATGGAAACTGTTTTCTTTATTTATGCATGGAATTATTGTGTTATTTTACTCTCCATCTAAAAGAAGTTGCCATATTTAGGGGAAACCACAACTAGGGATTGCAACTGATGGGAAAATGCAAGCAATGCAGTTATTACAAACTTAGCAATATGGGTTAGTTAGTAGCTGCTTATAATGAACATGAATTGCAGGTGGCACAATGAACAACTCACGTTTTTCTTGAGAAGTAAGGTCAGCACGATTGATATGGCAAGGAACACCAGTGCGATGAGGAAATACGCCAGTGCGTCATCGTTCCAGTTGGAGGCCGCAGCGATGCTAATTATCCTGGCGAGGGAAGACAATACACCTGAAATCGCCTGGAAAATGTGACAACAGTGGAGAAACAGATTGTTAATAATTCATGCTAACAACGACAACCAAGTAAGCTAGAATCTACAGGTATGGTGGAAGGCGAATACTTGTGTTACGTGAGTAAGCGTCTTGCTGTGAATTGTGGGATATAACAAGATTCGTTGCCATACGTAACAATCGCCGTTTGTACCAATAGAATGCGTGCAAATTTACGATTGACAGAACAGTTAATTGAAGTTTGTGTGAAGAGACCCAAGGCAAATTTACAAGAAACTAAAAGCTATCACGTGAGCTGAGTTCTGCTAGGTTTGGTAAAAATGTCATCATCCAATGAGCATGATTCTGATAGCACTAAGAAACTATGGACGTTAAGGCTCCTCCACTCAACGTCGCAGTGACACAGAAACTATAAGTCTAGAAATGGTCAACGACCAGGAGTACCTACATGAAATATATTGTAGTACTATTCAAACAAAGTAGGATCGCTGACCATAGTTATTTTATGACATATATATGTTTCCAGAAGTGCCATGGTTCCGTAGGGGTTTGGTAGAGAATTTAGTTCGACTGATGACTGAGTAACCATGGTAAGGCCTGAGAAAGTGATACAAGTAAATTTCTCATCAAAGACACAATTGGAATTTTTAGGTGACAAATATCAGTTTCTACCGAAGTTTAGCCGGTGGTTACCTCGTTTAGCATTTATTAGGGGAGCCCTAGGAACGGAATGGACGGCTTTATTTACTTGATGCACTCTCGGAAAAAAGCGGTCAACTCTTACTGCTCTCGGTGCGTTCACAACTACCAGCTGCTTTTATGCTTTGAAGTAGCGTACCACTCTCATCCGGGACGAAATTTCAAGTTAAAACAGTTAGTCCCATTCGAAGAGTTGCAAAGTGCAGTGAAAGTACGAACATCTGCAAGTACATGCCGAAAATCGCCATGGTTCCAATTGTTACGCATTGCTTTATTGCTTTTCGATGTGAGCATTGAGTCCAAGAGGAACCGCGAAGTATGCTGTAGTGAGCATTTCTGGAAAATAAAAGCTTCATTGTGAAATACGAAACTGTGGACAGCTGCTGACATTTAGTTCGAGCATTCTGGCACCTTGACCACTACAGTAGCGGAGCAGCTCGAGACATCAGCGAGATAAGTTCAAGTCACTCCTCGATAAGCCAATCGAGACATTAGGTGGCTAAGAGCACGATAAGTGATAATCAACTGAAAAATACTGGGTCCCTTCAGCCATTTCGTCAAAGCAGAATGAAATCACAGATTGCGATATGACAACCTTTTGATTGTTCTCCTCAATCGCATATACAACACAAGCAGAAACACATGCACAAATATATAGATGGGAAAATGTGACACACCAACAAATACGTCAAAATCAAGACCAGGGTAATCTAGTTGGTTGCCTCAAGAGTTTTTGTGTACATAGCACAGGTTGATAAGCCCTAACTAGCAACGCTTCGATGATTGACAACGTTACCGGGCTTCTGTTACGTAATAGCAACTTGAACGTAGCCTTCGGATTCACATCGTGGCCAGTTATCCCGAGGCACTTGGCGATAGATGATGACGGACTCCAGTTCATTTCGGGGGGTGCTGCGTTTTGTTTCGTCATCATTTGTTACACCTACTTTGGCAAATGTTCCGCCACCCTCTGGGTCAACGGAAGTTCAGTCCGGCTATATAAACGTTACCGCAACTACTGGTGAACTGATAAACCACATGAGAGGCCAAACTAGCCAACGCGTTGCTCTAACGGCCATGAATAACTAGTTTCCGGGTAGTGTACATGAGTCGCAACTGGGCGGTCGTGTAGGTGCATGTTAGAGCGCACCTGAGCTTGTATCCGAAATCAGTTGCCGCATGTCCCCCTTGAACAGCAGAACCAGCTGAACAGCTTTTCGCTGACGTTATTGCTGACTGGCTTACCGAACAACCTCCTCTTGGTGCCAGCTGGATGGTTCGGGATTTTCCGTTCCAGCAAATGGTTTGGCGGTAGTGCTCCAAGATGTGGTGGGTTTTTGCCTGGCAAGCGTTCTCCCTATAAAAAGCCACATATGTCCGTTTACCAACACTGTGACGTGGCGGACGTGACTCGCCACTAAATAAATTCACTGCCCCTTGCTTCACGCTGGCGAAGCATTGTATTCCAGCAAGTTTATGCTGTAATTTTGGGGAGCATTGGGCCCCTGTTTGACAAAGGAACAAACGAAAGGCGTATATACTGAGCATTCAGTCACCGGCACCCAGTGGGCGCGATTTCCTGAATTCGCTCCGCTGCGTTGCGGGCAGGCTATTCAGCCAAAGGCTCGGGGTGGTGTCCCCTAAGTCAACACCCTACTTCGGCTTGGGCAACCGGGTGGTATCTCGCCCTCTGAGGAAACCATGGACTTTGCTGTGTTGTGTTTTAGTTTGCTGTTTCTGTACCTTCGGTTGAATCCCATGGTTTCTGATGGCATTATGTCTGTTAGCAGATATTTGCAAAAAATAAAAATATTTCGAGGAGTCTGCAGTGCATATGCGTGAACGTTTTGGGTTGACCATTTGACGCTAATGTCCAATGCAGAGATTTTTCTTCAGGTTCCAGCGGTTTTGGGTTACAAATTCCTCCAGCCCCGTAGAAGAGCGTCTTCAATAAGCCGCGTTTGTACGCGACCGGGGAGAGAATATATAAATGAAAGCACTGCCGGCTCCAGTTTGCTTTTCGATAAGCGGTACGCTGCAATGTACCCCTGCTTCATCTATTAATAAGGATATCTAAAAATGATAGGCAGTCGTGTTGTTCCACCTCGCTGGACACCGACAACTTGTAGTGAATTGAATTCAAAGTGGTTAGCAGGCGGGTAAAGTGTTCGCTGCTGGTGAATACCAGAGTGACACGCACATACCATCTTTATGATTCTGCTTCCCTAATAATGGCAGCAACTTGCTTTTTGGTCAAGCAGAAAAAGCTATCTGTCAAAACAAGTCCCAGACGGCTGCAAAGGACGACTCCGTCGATCTGGTTGCATGCCGCCCCCCAAAATTGAAACGTGCATTTTTGTGCACAGTTGAGTCATACTCCTCAAAAAATCTACAGGGAGGCTTACATACACGTTCTGGTTAGAGATGAAACGGCACAAATCGTCAATAGTTTCCTGAAGAGTCACAATGGTGGAGTCCAGGTATATAGAGTACACAAACTCCGAGTCAAGTGAGGATTGTTCCAGCGTCTCCGTTAGTTCAAAGGCAGCTTTCGCGTAGTGCATAGCCAGTTTACGCATGGGATCGAACAGTTTCGCCAACCACCGCCCAATGTTGTGACGGGACTAATTTGTGCATGCACATCATCGGACTCGATGAGCTTACCTGGTTTGTATAACTTTGGAGACAACATAAGGTGCTTCATCTATGTACGTGACTCTACCATAATGCCGGTATGGTACACACGGCAGATCTACCACAATATTTTAGAAGACAGATTAACATGTTATAGCAAAAAATTAAGTGTACAACAAAAACGTGATATTAATCAGAATTTTATACAATGTACCTAAGCAAGCTTTTTAAAGGTCCAACATGCTGCTGCTACACAATTAATTATTGAAGTCAAGCAGGCGTCCATCCTGGAAAAATTCTTGGTGTAAAAACCACCACCGTATATCACTGTATACCACAACCCGATATCATGATTCACAAATGTTTATATCATAGCGCAGTCACACTTAGATGCGTTCTGCAATGTGCTCAACTAGCCTATGAAGATAAGCATTACGTCAAATAAACAAGATGTTAAAGTTGAACAGCCCCAAAGTCATGATTACGGTATCGAGGATAAAACCATTTGCAGCTTCACAGAATTTTTCTAAAGACCAAGGTTGATTAAAAAATACTTATGCTGCTTGAATGCTAAATAATAAGCAGAAAGCGAGAAGATAGAAACCTCTTGCTCCATTGTAGGTGGATCGGGCACATGCTGATTCATGCGTCGTGGCAGCATATTGCAGCTGCACTACGTCTTGGTATAGTCAATTCTGGCTTTACTTGTGGAATACAAATCGACTAAATACATATATGAAGTTCTAACGCAAATTTAGCGATAACAATGCGTAAACCACTCTCATTAAAAGACGAAATGTGCATTATATTGTTATTCCAAATATGAAGTACCGTATTAAACACTTATATAAAATAGAAACGGACTTTTGCATTTTTATAAGACAAACTTAGCCAACGTGGACTCACTTGACCTTCCACAAATCCCTTCATATTCTTCGCTGGAAGAACCGAGACCATTCCGAAAAGAGCAGTTTGTGCAATTGCAGAGCCAACTAAAGGATGCGTAAATGAAACCTAACCCTATCTCACTGTTAATAAAAACAATGGAGGCTAGTGTCAGTCCGTTAAACACTTCCAAGTCTAACGAATGAGTTAAAATTGGACGAAACGCTTACCCATATCGATCCGCACCATAACCGTTGTAACAACAAACATAGCGAAGACGATAATGCTTCCAATCAGAAAGCGAGTGAACGTTGGAATCCTTCAAAAGATTTTATTAAAGCGCGTGCTTACCATCTCATTAGAGCAAAGTTTAAAATACCGAAGACGGAAAGTGGTATCATGGAACATAATGTAAGACTATTATCAAAGGGCAGCAAGCCAGGCGCACGGCCACTTGAATTAGAAGCGAGACGGAGATTAAAATACTAGAAAGCGTAAGCTGCTATTTTTCGCTTACGTCAGTGGCCGTTATGAAAAAGTTCCACGGCAGTAGGGTACCCACACCAGCGATAAAGAAAATTATGTATACAATGTACAGCCTGACGAGAAGACTATCGTCCTGTAACAGCAACAAACCTATCCCGTGGTTTACAAGTAGAGTAGTCTATTGATTCCTTATCAACTTCTTCTATGTTATCCACTTTAGACATTGTAGTAAGCGTCCAGTTAAAGATCCCGAGTTTGCACGATAACACGTGAACACTAGGAACACGGACCAGTAAACCGTAAGGGATTAAATTATAAACTGAAATATTTAAACACAATTGACCTTACTGTGCATAAAACTTCAACAACTTGTTAGTTACAAAACTAATTTTTGTCGTACTTCAAGTTTACCTATGAGATGATTAGAAACTATGTTTTAGAAAGCATTTGTAAACATACCAGAGCAAACGTTAAGGAAAATTGAATTGATTTTGATAACTTGCAATGGAGGCAAAAGTTCACAACGTATCTCTTGGCGCTTGGTTTGTTTGTTAGCTGAACTACTTTTCCCTGTGTGCTTTATTCACTTATATTCATTAATTATTTGCCTAAGGCCGTATAAATCATAAGCAGCAATTACTTTGGTCAGATTTACGCGCTAAACTCACATGGTTATGTACGCATACACAGCATATGCTGGACGAAATTTATGATTACATAGCCTGAGGTTCGATGCTTTTGGAAGGTTTGAGAAACTATCCTATATCTACGAAAGCGACGTTTTTCAGTGTTGCATGTTAGGTTTACAAAAGTTCTGTCTGCGTCGATGTACTGCGTTTAGAAGAAATCATCCCGTCATTTCGTGGCTGTGACCCGCTTTTACTGCCATTATATTACATTGAAATCCTTCAACTACGGGACCGTCTAGTGCGCCACCGGCCGAGTTTAATTATTGGCTGTCGCCTGTCCGCATAGCTGACTTAGGTGTGCTCTGGATCTATGCGTAGTAAGGCGAGGTTGTTGTCCAAAATGTTAATAGTGTCCCTAAAGGAACTCCAAAAAGCAAACAAATACGTTACCAAATTATTAGTTCATGAATGGGTGAAAAGCGAAAAATTTAATATATAACGAACTTCAACTGGTTAACTATGAAGTTGAACGTATACTTAGCCATAGAAAGCAAATTCTTAGGTCGCTCTTAAATGAAAGATGTGCAAGCAAGCGTAATTAGGGGTTCTGAATATATGCTTTTGGATGTATGCAAAGTGCCCTACATGGAATAGTTGTCTGCAAAACATGTTAAATTGGAAGGCATAACAGTGGTATAGGTATATAGTAAAGAATTTGGTAGTGTTTGGGTGATAACACATGGATATAGGTTGAGTGATATATAAACCTTCTCCGTTCTTAAGTTAGAACAAGTGAGGAAATAGTTAAGAATGCGGAGAAAACCCCTTTGGCTATTCAAGCGTAGCACAATTACAAGTTTTAAAATTTGACATGTTTTTCCTTGCGCAGGAACCATTGCAACCTCTTTATCGTACCAAGCCTAGTCTATGTGCCACCGTAGCGTGTACAAAGCTGATGCGCCAAGGATACAAACCCAGACAGCCCGTTTTACAATCCGGCATGCTCCTACTATGCTGTGCTAGCCCAAGCCACCTTCTCTCTAAGTTGTTCGAAAAACAACTCGTACATCGGCTACAGTGTCGTACGTTACCGCATGGTTGCTGTGGCAAAGCAGCACTGTCAACCTCCCATTGATTGCTGGTGGCGTATTCGACGGCCCATCCAAGTACGGTACTTGGAATCTGATCAAGATAAAACATTCTGCGACCTAATGAGCATAAGTCCCACAAGTGAAACCAGTTGAATCATAGGTATTAGCGCGGCGTTTGGCAAGTGTAAGGGATTCTTGAAAGCAAAAGGCGCAAAAATGTGCATAAGCTAACCAGCTTGGCTCAGCGTTTCAAGACATCGTAGTTATTTCGCAAAAGGAACGCGTGTGAGGTTTAACCGACGGCTTGCAAAAATCATTCAAATTATTTCATAAGCATTGTCCAGTTTTTACAATTCGTGAGTGCACAGCATCTCACTGTTCACCTTTAAATCTTGCTATGGTACACAATTACTTTAGGTTCACATATGTCGTTTTTATTGGGAAGATGGTTAAGACCCATCTTCCGCCTCGCAGATCCATAAAACTAGTAAATACTACTCCAAGATTGGATGCATAATTGAGCGTGGATGTCAAAGGGCCAACGAATTCTGTCACCAGATTTTAATTGAGGCGCCACGAGAAACTGTGGACGGATTAAGCGATTTGGGTGCGAAGGTCAGGACAGAAACTCACGGAGCAGACGTGTCCGTGCTGATGAGCACGGAGCGTAAGGAGCAGCAAGACGAGGATGATTACTAGACAGTAGTTCAACCATCCGCTTGTAGTTTAAGGATAAAAGTTAACTTTGGCCCTGCGAATCCGTTTGGACATGTAGCAGTAAGGTGCTTACAGTGGTATACAGCATTCTAGTATAGCTATTAGAATTTTATATCATCCCTTGCTAGCACAACATCACTGTGTAAAATATCTGTTTGGGCCACATATCTGTCAGTCCTACTCGTTTTCGTTACCTTCCGAAACCCTTAACCACGCATTGCTGGCGTCGTCTATTTTGCCAGGTCGGCCATGGGGTGAGTTGCGAAACGGAGTGTGTGCCAACAACTAACCCGTACGATAAGGTGCTACATTGTAATTGCAAATCTATATGTTGACGTGTTGCTGATATCTTTTGTTCAACTCTGCTTCTACTGGGTGTCTATTTCCAAGTCCATGACGGATGAAGCTCCATCGTAGTCAGCAGGGTATGCGGTCGAATCGATGCCGCATCCGTTCGTATAGTAGAGCATTGTAACCCTTCATATTTTTGAGAATACTGGTACTACCAAACAAAACATTTTCCGCCCAAAGTAACCAAATATTTTGGATAGGGACGGTCTAAATGGCCCGGGCGCCTCACACCTTAAATGCATTGCTGGAGCCGTAAATATCACGCGTAGTCACGCCTGACTGTACCGCGTACCAGCTAAAAGTGTGGTAGCTAACAACCCTTCGATTACTGACTCAGTCAAGAAATACACATATCACTGCAGCTCAAACGGTCTTGGTGCGTAATGCCTACATGGTAGACGAGTGTGGATTTTGGCTGAACTCACCAAGTTAGGCCTGCTGCTAGGGCCCTGAGGAGGAATTAGATGGGGTTATCTGGGCATAGGCTTGTAGCCATCGCAGTATCTAGATAATAGAGCGTTGGCTCAATAGGACTTAACAATTTAAAGCTATCAGTGCACCCATGGGAACGACGTTCCCTGCGGATTGACCATTTAGTCACAGCGGCATCCTGCACAAAACTTCTGGCGTCTTAAACCGCTGAATGTTGACAACCTTGTCAAGATGAGCTCAGGCTAAATTTGTGCAACATTCCTAAAGCTGTACGTACTCTGCAACCAATAGTTATTCTCATTTGCTGACTTGGCAATTAAATGGCATGAGCATGATCTTACAGAGCTTATAATCCGTACTTGTCATAACTGTTAATAATACCCCGTATATACTGGTTAGCATTTAAGAATAAATGTAGAGTAGTAATCATGTTGAGTGAATCCGTTACTGTTCGGTGAATTCGTCAACATAGTAAGATATCAATAAATATCGTCGAGTTGCCTAGCTTTCGAGAATGGGGCAAAAGCTTCCGGAAAAGCAGATGACAGTGACATTATTTGTAGCCTGTCAACTGCGCCACGCCCCCTTGTTGCTAAAAAGCAGCAGCTGTCATTTTATAGGGAGAAAACTCGCCAGAGGAAATCCCACTAAGTCCAGGGACGCTGCCGTCTAACCATTCGCCGGAACAGGATTAACCCGGACCACCCAGCTGGCCCCACATGGACGTTGTTCGACCAGCAAGCCACAGTCACCTGGATAAGTGTTGCTTTGAGCTGCTATATAATAATTACATTTAAAGCCATACGTAAATACTTATGCAGCGTTTGCTGCTATACATCGTTCCTTGAGCTCTAAAGGACCGTTAGTGCAGGCGGTAGATCTACAAGCAAACGTAGTTCCAAACGCGTAGCCTTACCAATTAGATGTGTGCGGGCAAACGGAATGTGTGTAAAGCACTGTAGACGGCTGTCTAATCTGTATGCAATGCGGAATTACGCCATGA